GTTGGGAGGATTAAATACAATCTTTTTGTTAAAGCAGTCTATGGTGGCGTGATACGCCGCTAGCCAATACATTCCTATGATTACATCAAAATCCCCCGTGTCTAACCCTATCAGGTCTACTCTCAATTTTCTATCTGCTATCTCCACGGCACATGCCCTGTAGACAACCTCTCCTAGCAATGTCTCCCCCCCAACGGTAAATACAAGCAATAATGAATCAAGTCTATCAGGTGATACACAAATTTTGGAAGCAAGAACATGTGAAATAAAAGAATGTGATGCACCAGTATCAAACAAAACATGAGCAATGTGGCCAGAGATAGTATACATACCATGTACCACGTCCGGGTCTGCGTCGGCATCCTTCTGAGTAAGGTTGTAAACTCTGCCCTGGATTGGAGGCCTTCTTTGATTCTGGTTCCTAGGGCATTCCCTTGCATAGTGCTGGGCACTGCCGCATATGCGACAGGTGTTGTTGAGGCGGTAACAGGGTCGGTCCCCGTGATCCCTGCCGCAGTACTGACAGATCTTCCCACGTGCTGCCCCTGTAGCCTGAGGAGGGGCTGGACGCGGGTCTGGGCTCTACTGGGTTGGACAGGCATGGTAGGTGCTGGCTGCGGAGCGGGGCTGAGGGTCGGGAACTTCCCGCTAGCTGAGGGCGGGTGTCGAAGCTCCTTTCTATGATCTGCGCCTTTGCCAGGACTGCCAAATATGTCTCGAGCTCCATCACCAGTAAGTGCTGTCTGATCTCCGGGCGGAGACCCCACTGGAATTTCCTAGCTTTTCGGCCCTCATCCATCAATGTCTTCGGGGCATGTCGGCCCAGCTCCAGGAACTTACGGGCATACTCTGACACTGTCATGTTTCCCTGGACCAATTGAGCAAACTCCATTTCCTTTAGGTGTTGGATGTGTTTAGGGAGATACTCCGCATGGAAGGCCGCTAGGAACTGCTCCCAAGTAGCTGGTGTAGGCAGGGTGGTCCGCTTGAGCTCCCACCAGCGTACTGCTTCCCCTACCAGCATGTAGGAGGCAATGGCAGCCCTCTGCTTAGGAACTACTCCCAAGGTCTCGAAAGCTCTCTCAGTCTCTGCCAGCCAGTATTGGGCCTCTTCAAAAGAGGATCCCCCTGCAAAAGTAAAAGAGTTCAGTCTTCTGTACCTCTCTATGAAGCCGGGGTCGATCAAGGAAGGAGCGGGGTCCCGAGGTAGAGGGACTGGGGCCGGCTGAGGGTGAACTGGGGGACCCTGTGGTGGCACCTGCTGATGTGGTGGGGGTACTGGAATGTGCTGTGGCGGCGCCTGCTGGTACCGTGGCTGTGGTACCGGGTCGTACCGCGGCTGTGGTGCCGGGTGGTACTGTGGAGGAACAGGCTCCTGCCGGGGTGGCTCGGGATCAGCCTGCTGTAGCGGGGGCTCAACCTGCGATAGCGGAGGAGGTCCGGGTAACTCCCTTCTCTCCTCTCGCCTTTGCTGGGCAGCTACGAGAGCTTCCACTATCTCAAATAGTCTGTCTAAATCCTCCCGAAGCGAATTATCTTGGGCTGCTCGGTTTAGTGGGGGCCTTCCTCTCTTCATTCCCGTGTACCTGCATTCACAAGGAATGGTTGAGTAACGATATATCGGTGAGTATTTCTCTAAGGCACTATGGTGTAAGGGATGGGTCCGAGGAAATGCGGCTCTGAGACCAACTGTAACGGTCCCGGAAATTTAAAATGAAATGTGTATTAAAAATATCAAATGCGAAAGCGAAGTCAAAATTTTGATTAACATCCCTTACACAATAACTAAAACGTACTCAAAACATGAAATTACAAACTAACTAAGAGAGATAATCGAGATAAGAACTATAAATATAGCTACGTAGTCTTTAGGCGTCCCCTTCGTCGTCCTCCTGCGGAACGGGCTCGGGAACAATGTCTTCATGATCTGAAATGATTAAATAAGGAATGAGCTACACTAGCCCAGTAAAGACATCACGATATCTCACCGTCACGGAGGTAAAGGTGGGTAGAAAACACAAAAAGACTAATGGAGCATAATTTACAACAAATCCTTTTGCCAATAATAAATCATTTACCATCCACTCACCTCGGTGAAATTCATAAAACAATATACGAAAGTAATAACATTATCATTATCATGAAATCATATAAACTATATAACATAATACTTATCACGCCTTTTGTAATTCAATCATTACACAACATATTTTCCTCATTTACCAGTCTACTAGTATCCATGGGGATCCATAGGGGTCCCGCTACCCGTTAACCCTTAACACTTGAAACCAGATTCCAGGGCCGTCCCCATACCCCGTCCGGTATGGGCGCCAAAACTATAAACCTGATTACCCCGTCCGGTATGAGGGTGAAATGGGCCGTCCCCATACCCCGTCCGGTATGGGCGCCAAAACACATAAGGTCTCCATACCCCGTCCGGTATGAGAGACCACCATCCCGGTAGGGTTCCCTACGGACCCGGTCCGTCCACCATCTCCCAGGATATCTAGTCAGGCTGACCACATTATACAATTATCAATTTACATAATCTTTCATTCTCCTTTTCCTCAGTCAGCATCATCAATTTACATACAAATAAGCAAACAGTAATTTATGCCAAATAAGACAACATACAGCATCGGTTTCTCAGTCATTCAACCCATAATCAATAAAACAGTAAAATATGCACGCGAAACAATGAAATAAAAACATCAGACCTCATACTGCATTTAAAACTGTAAAATATGCCAAATAACAGTTAACCGACAACACACTAGACTCGGGCTCCATTAGCGACCTTAAGCAATTTCACACATTCGTTGATTCAAGAAATACCGTTTTATCATTTCTGAACTTTAATACCGTGATAGGAAATAGGATGAGGGGTCCTTACTCATTTCGGGGTCCGAACACGGCTTCACAGTGCGCCTACAGACTGTTCCTAATTTTTTCTGAATTTTTTACAGGGAACTGAAACGCACTACTGGTACCGGCGGCGGTGCTCTCGGGTGCGGCGGCTCTCCGGTGAGGTTCGTGTTTTGGTGATTCGGCTCCGATCAACTGTGCGATGAAGGTTGGGTCTCGGTGATGATAAGCTGTAATGTATATGATTGCCGCTCGGAAATTAAGGACAGCAGAGAGAGGGCTTCTTCTGTGACAGAGATGGCCTGAGCTGCTTGGAGTCGCGCTGAAGAAAATACAAATATGGGTGATATTTGTGTTTATGTCAAATAGTAGAGGCCAGTAATTGGTTCTGCGAGTAGAAGGAAAATAAAGAATGAGAAGAACAATTTGAGGGGATTTTTCTGAGTATTTTGCGAAGAATTCATGGAGAAGATGAGCTCTCTCTTCTCGGCCTCCTCCCTCTCTCTACGCCCCTTTGGCCTCAGGGATTCCTCCTTTCTCTGTTTCGAGTTTCGCTCTTTACAGTGGAGCGAAGCTGTTTAGATCAGTATCCCCGCACTGAAAATTCTCCAAAAATCACGAAAACCCATCTCTTCCCGCTCGCGACGTGCACGTCTTTGCTTCCTTCTTCTTCTCCCGTTCCCTGCGCCACCATGCTGCTTCTCTTTTTTTTTTTTTTTTTTTTATAAGCTGAATAAATAATTAATGAGGAAATTACAAAGATGCCCACGTTTGGGCGTTACATATTATTTGAACGTATGAACTATGTTGCTATGGTGTCTTTTCCTTTTTCTAATTAAATACAATATATATTACTTAATTCACGGCACACGTTGCATATGTAATGATTGCAAAATGTTGATGGTAATTGGATAAGTAGGGGAATATATATATATATGTATATGTTGTATGTATATATATATATATATCTTTAGAAAGAGAGAAAGAGAGTAGAAGTATCTAAAGGGTATATATATATATATATATATTATGTATATAGTAATTTGCACCGGGCAGGAGTATTCCATACTCAAACATGAGGAGTATGAATACAGGGAGGGGATGGTGGAGATGCTGTACAAGATCCAATCATTCTATATCCTGTTGTGAGATTTGAAAGGGAAAGACATTTTACCAGCAGCTTAATTAATTTCACATCAGAAATTATATAATATTATTTTATTTTATTTTACATTAATATATAATTAATTAATTTTGAGAGTAGAAGTAGAAAAAAGCAGTAGAAGAGAAACATCAGAGAGTAGTACTTAATTAGCAGCTCCTCTTTGGGCCGCTACATATTTTGTGTGAAGATCAAGAAATCATCGCATGCAATCTAAAGAAATCATTCTCCCCCTTTTTTTTTTAATGGCTTTTCTTTACCAATTCTTATATTATATATATATATATATATATAATTTCTTGTACCTCAATTGATTCATTTGTAAGAAAAAAAAAATATCAAACTTAGTTTATTCTTTACAATAAGAAATTGTTCACTCTTTATAAAAAAAAAAAAAAAAAAAAAATTAATACTATTTAAGTTTAGTGGGTTATAATTTTAATTATGTCGTTGAAATGCATATATGTTGCCTTGCAATTTTTGCCATCCCTTACATATGCTTCTTCCATTATATCCCGTTTTCATTTTCTTTTTCCTTTTTGTTTACATTTGAAGATTCCAATTATACATACACACATACGTGTATACATCATCCATGCATATATACACACATGTTAATTGTCATCTTTATATAAAAATTATGCTCTTAAGATAGGCAAGGACCATATTTTATTAATAACAATTTAATTAGAATACTTAATAGAAATGGGCCACGATCAAATTTGGGCTATGATTGCGTTGGTCTCTCATAAGGGCTTCCTCAAACCAAACCCAAAATCTAATTGTTAGATTGGGTTGGGTTTTTAAATTATTAGATTACAACAACTTAATATTAATTTTGAATTAAAATAAAAAATGATAATCTAACAAAATCTAATTTATGACGTGATAAACAAAAATTAATGTTATGGATTATATAATCTCTGCATTAGGTGAGAATCTTTGTTGGGTTAAAACAAATGGAAGATGACGATTGATAACTCAAAGTCCAGATTTGAACGGCACACCAGTCGCCGGCAACCATGAGTTTCCGGCGATAAAATTCCCGACGGCGAACTTTGAAGCTTCGGCGGCGCTAGTTATAACCCTATAACCCCGCCATTTAACCCTTCCGCTAACCGGAGCTGCGGGTCCAATATTCTTATACTCCCCGTAATACAAAGTGTCGAGAGCAAAATTGCCATCCCATTCGAGCCACCCAGCCGGATCAACCAATGAATCAAGATAAGTCTTCATGAAAACAGTGCGAGAGTATTGCTTCCACGGCCGACCCAAGAAAGTCTTGAAGGAATTAAGCACGGGTTGTAAATCCGGTGCGGCCATGACCCGACAGTTGTGGATCGAAATGCCGGTGTTCTGGTTCGAGTCGGTTCGGCCTTGAGCAGTAATGGTGATCTTTTGTTTATCCATTGGTCTCCTGGCGTAGATCATGCAGTTCTGCAAGACGACGGCTGCGTTGCCGAAAATGAAGTCGACGGTGCCGTAAACGTAACATTCTTTGTAGAATTGGCGCTGCGAGTGGGCGTAGAGGGTGTCTTGGTAACCCTCGAAGCCGCACTGGTAGAAGACGGAGAAGTCGGATCCGGATCGGAGAGCTACTGCTTGGTGATTTTGCGGGCCGGCTGTGTTGCGGAAAGTAATCCCGCGGGCTATGAATCCTGACCCGGTTACCGCTGTAGTCAACACAATTTCGGATTAGTGTTGGTAATTAATAGGCTTTTAATTATTATTTTTTCATTTTAGTTTTTTAATCTTGAAATTTTATATATTTATGCTTGAAAATTCAAACTTGTAAAGTACATCTTGAAATTTTTTATAATTTTATATAAAATCTAAAAAATAAAAAAAATATTGAATTAATACCAAAAAAAATAATAAAACTTTAAAAAGGGTTTGTAATAATTTCCAAAAACTAGTCATAAAAAAAATTATATTTTTAAATAAAAACTTATATTATAAAATATTATCAAATTATTATATTATATATCTTTTCAATTCCTTTTGTAAAAATTTCGAACCACCCATTACTTATGCAGAACTTATAAACTAATTAAACCAAACCCATTTTTATACTTATTTTTTAATTCATTTTTTTTTTTTCAAAAAATTGAAACTTGACTTCTATTAAACCCCACCAATATTATCAAGAACAATTATTTTTGTTTCAATTTTGTTCTTTTTTTCTTGCAGAACCTAATCAAGCAAAAGAAAAATTATTCAAGAGATCAAAATATATATAAACATTATAACATTGATATATAAAGAATTATATAAAGGAAACAAAATTTCTTACCAACAGTTGCAGAGGCAAAAGTAGTGGAACCTCCTTTAACACTTCTACTTCCAGTGATAATGGTGTTCCTCAAACCATCACCAACCAACATAATATTCTTCAGTTTCTTTCCGATCTCCAAATTCTCCTTGTAAACCCCACGCTTTACGCGTATCACAAACCTCCCGCTCCCGCTCCTCTTCGCCGCCGCGTCCAGCGCGGCCTTGATCGTCCTGAAATTCCCGGACCCATCTTGCGCCACCACCAGGTTCGGTCTCGGCGATGACGCCTGAAGCAGCCTCCTCTCCCCAGGCTTCACCCACGTTGGAAAACCCTCGCTATAGTAAGTTTCTGGTGGCGAACTCGAAGGTTTATTGATAGCTAAGATGTTGCTAATAAGCTTCGAAACGTTGTTAGACATGAGCGGGAGCATGAACTCCGGCACACCCAGTTCGATGAACCCGGCACGGCATGTTTCCAGGTTAGTTAGCGCAGTGCTAAGCCATGTTTGGACGTCGAAGTCGGTGCATTTTGTGTTTGGTTCTATGGTTTGGTTGAGTTGGAAGATGGTTTCTTCATAAAGGTTCAAGCAATCAGCCCATGCAGCCTTTTCTTTCTCGTTGGTGCACTTGTTTCCGAGCCACTTGTTGTGGGTCTGTGCTGTAAGGGCTCGTTCCATGGCTAGCTCAACCCCCATTTTGCGGAACTGGGATTTCCCGATGGGTAAAAATCTGATCGGTTTTTGGTTTATGAAGTATTTGCAGGGTTCAGGGTTTGGAGTTTTGTCGCACCACCAATTTACGCTGTTGGTGATGACATTGGATAAGGAAGGTGAAAGAAGGGAGCAGAAGGAGAGAAAGACCAGCAATAAGCTTAGCTTTGCCGCCATTGATGGGCTTTTTCTCTCAGCTTTAATTCGTTTAGTTTGGATGACTATGGTTTTCGTAAGCCGGTATTTATATACGAGGAGCAGATGAAAATATGAAGTGGTGACAGGCTGGTTAGGCTTTGAACAAGACGGATTGAAAACGACAGTCGCAAAATAAGGAATGAGATTTTCAACTATTTCTTGTATATAATTTATAATATCCTTGAATTATTTCAAACTTTTTTTAGTATAAATTAATAATAAAAATTACATGTATAATATATATTTATGCTCTATATATCTAACTAGTTTATAGTTACTAGTAACATTGTATTATAGTGATTAAAATTTTATGTTTTTTTAAAATTTATGAATTTAATTTTTTTAAAAAATATAAATTTGTCGCTTTATATAATAATTTATTTATAATAATTAATTTAATAAAATTAAATACTTAAATTACTATTTTGTTATTATAACTCCTATAATCAAATTTAACTTAAATCCAACGTGACCAATTTTTTTATTTATTGAAAATGAAAATTAATACAGAGAGTTAATCATGTCACAACACTTTTCATACATATAAAAGACTTGTGCCCTTAATCCGACACTCCTTAATTAATCATATTAATGGTATATTCTAATATGTTTTAAAATAAATTTTGTTAATTAAGTAAATATATATATATATACATATACTAATTAACATATGAATTTGTAATGGAGTGTGTAGATATTATTTTTTAAGCTATTTGGGAAATATATTGTTTAAGAAATTTTAGCATTCAATCAGTTTAGGTGTGCATTTTTTTTTTGTGGAAATAAGATTCAATAGAAATTTAAGCAAATTTAGGTACGTAGATTATTTTGGCATATACTAATTTTCTTATTTTCTAACTTATTATTATATTTTAACTATTTATGTGTCTTCATCATTATATATATATATATATGTATATGAATTTCATTAGATATAATTTGAAATTTGGGATTAAATAAATTTCGCACTACAGCAAGGACACATTTCTTGCCTTCGGTTCTGGTCACAGAACCATGGTGATATACGTATACATATATGTGTCTGTGTATATATAAGTATTGATTATTGAGCACGCATTATTGGTACAGCTTTAATTAGTTCAATTTTCAATCGAAAAAATAGTTTTCAAATGATTTTGCAGTAATTGACTTTGATTCAGGCATACCCTCTTAATCATGATTATTGTTGTACACATTATAATAAATTATTATTATTTATGGAATTATTAGTAATAAACTTTGTATCAATACCTGTGTTGTTTAGTAATTAAATTGGCATAATAAAATAAGCCCTCTCTTAATTAATATACATAGCCATCGCCCATTTATTATCTATTACATGCTAATTAAATTAAACTGATGGAAAATTAACCCCTTTTTATTGTTAATTATTATTTTAATCTCGTAATTAATTATATTGGTCTTATTTCTGTCCTAATGCTGGTTCAGAAAATGCTAAGCAGCAGTCTATACATAAAATGTTGACTTTTTCCTGTCATTGACCTTGGATTTGAGCGCGGAAACGCGTTTGCTTCAACAGCTCTCGTTCGATTAAACTACATTTGGAATAAATTTATTGTCAAATATTTACAAAATAATGTATAATACACACACACAAGCACGTATATATGTAACTAAAATGGTGATTCACCATTTTAATTATATAAAAATGTATACAATTTCTCTTAAAAAATATATATATATATTTCTAAAAATTTCAGCTTAACTTTCAAAATAACAACAATATCTATTTTTATTATCGTTCTCTAATGGTATTTGAACTCATTGACGAAACACTTGACATGGGTAATTACGCAATGGTAATTTTATTGAAAATTTAAGAAATTTTTTTTGAACGTGTTCGTATATTTAATAACACATATTAATTCATTATATTTAATAAAGCAAATATAAGCGAAGAGAGTAATTTAATGAACATAATCTAGTTGGGCCAATAGATTTGAAGATCGACTGCGGCAGCTCGAGGTTTATATATATATATATATATATATATATATATATTTGTGAGAACGACTTTTTTAAGGGATTGGGTTGAGAAGGTGTTCGTGCCAAATCGATACATATGATATACATATATGTGCTTGCACGTAGAAGTAATGTGCACCGCACAAGGGGTATTGGTCTTTATAAAATTACCGTTAAAAAATTAAATTTGGGTAAAAATCTTTTATTATACATTTGCGTAGCCCAATTGCTCTTTTCTCGGCCCAATTGCTATAGGCCCGAACTCCAAATTTAAAGCCCTATATAGGCCCAATTGCTATTTTATGGGCCCAAACTCCAAATTAAAGGCCTCTAGGCCAGATTGCTCTTTTATCGGTCCATTGCTCTAGGCCCAAACTCCATATTAAAAGCCTTCTATTTAGGCCCAATTTCCTGTTATTACTATCGGGCCCAAGCCGCTCTCCCTAGGCCCAAAGTTCAAACTTTTATAGGCCGAATTGCTCTAGGCCCAAACTCTAAATTAAAAGGTATCTCACTAGGCCCAATTTATCTGGGTCCAATTACTCTCTAGGCCCAAATTGCTCGATCCAAACTCTAAATTACCAGGCTTCTCCTCTAGGCCAATTGCTCAGGCCCAATACATCTCTTGGCCCAAATCGCTCTCCTTAGGCCCAAACTCCAAATTAAAAGCCTTCTCTCTGGGCTCAATTTCTTTGTTCTTGGGTCCTTCTGGAGCATAAAATCCAACCATGGACTTATCTATATATATATATATATATATATATATATGTAGTTAGAAACTACTTTTCCAAAAATATTATATCGATATATATTATTGTAAACTATATAAATATATAATTATATATCAAATTATTATAAAACAATAATAATTTATACATCTCAATCTTCAATTACACGAATACGAGGTAAGAATATATAAATATACAAATTAAATAGAAAAAAGAAAATAATAATCACCCACCAAATAAATTGATTAATATAGGAACAGATCAGTCAGGAGAAAATAATTATATAATCACAATGATTGGATATCATCATAATCCAGACGTAAAAGGCACGCCAGTCGCCGGCAACCACGACTTTCCGGCGATAAAATTACCGACGGTGAATCTCGACGCACTCGCACTATTTATCACATGAAAACCCCGCCACCTTACTCTGAATCTCGTCGAAGCCGCGGGGCCAAAATTCTTATACTCAGCATAATACAAAGTGTCAAGAGCAAAATCCGAGTTCCCCCACCGGGACCACCCACTCGGACTCACCAAATTGTCGAGATAACTTTTCATGATCACCGTTCTTGAGTACTGCTGCCAGGGCCTTCCCAAGTAAGTCTTTACTTCTCCGATCACTGGTTTCAGATCGGGAGCAGCCAAGATTCTTGAATTGTGAATTGTTATGCCGGTGCTCTGAAATGGGTCGCCGCGAGCTTGAGCTGTGATCATGTTGGCTTGACCTTTCAATGGTCTTCTGGCGAAAATCATGCAGTTCTGGAATACGACGGCGGCGTTACCGAAGATGAAGTCGATAGTACCGTAGATGTAGCATTCTTTGTAGAATTGTCGCTGAGAATGCACCATTAGAGTGTCTTGGTATCCTTGAAAGGCGCACCGGTAAAAAACTGAGAGATCGGAGGCTGATCGGAGCGCCACCGCTTGGCCTTTTCGTGGTCCGGCTGTGTTGCTAAATGTTATATCTCTAGCTATGAAGTGAAGCCCATCTATCCCTGCAAATAAAAAATATTCACTAATATAATTAATATATACGTTAATATCAGAATTTAAGAAAGATTTCTTGGTATAAATTCATGAAAAAATGTTAATGATAAGTACCAGCAGTTGCAGAATTGTAAGTAGTGTAACCTCCTGCAACGCTTCTGCTACTTGTGATTATCGTCCTCCTCATACCATCTCCAACAAGCATAATATTATTATTATTATTACCAACCTCAATATTCTCTCTGTAAACACCTTTCTTGACATGTATAATGAATCTTCCCATTCGTCTCCTTCTCGAAGCCAAATCAATGGCGGATTGGATTCTCCTGAAATGCCCGGACCCATCTTGTGCCACCACCAGATTCGGTCGTAGTTTCACTGACGACAATGGCGTCTGAAGCAGATTCCTCTCCCTCCTCGTTACCCAACTCGGAAAGTCATCTATTCCAGTACTATTATTAGCCATACCATTACTTTCCGTTTTTAGCAAAGCCTGGTTAATAGCCAAACTGTTGCTTATAAGTCCAGACAAATTCCCAGAACTGATCGGGACGATGAAGTCTGTAACGTTCAAGTCCATAGAACCGAGATGGCAAGTCTGGATATTAGTCAGCGCCGTGCTAAGCCATGTCTGCACGTCAAAATCTGTGCAGCTCCTGTTGGTTCTGCCGAGGCCTTGAAGAGTTCGGTCAAGTTGCAGAATTGTGTCGTCGTAGAGTTTGAGACAGTCAGCCCATGCAGCTCTCTGGTGTGGTGTCTCGCACCTGGGTCCAAACCGCTTGACCTCGTCCTGGACGATCATGGCTCGGTGTTTGGCAACCTGAACAAGCATATCCCTGAACTCGAGCCGGTGTTTAGGTGCAAACGCAGAGTGGTTCATGAAGTAGATACATGGATCTGGATGCGGGGTTAGGTTACACCACCAGGTTATGTTGCTTGGGGTACCCTTGGAAAGGGTAGTCGAGAAAGATATTATGATGAACAGTAGAGGCAATATTAGTTTGATACAATCCATGGCTGGTTTTTTATTTGGGTGCGATGATTTTTATGGGTCATGTCCTGTGGAGAAGACATGAAAAATGGGACTGTTTGGAAAACGGAAAGGACTTTATATATATATATATATATATATATATGGTATAGCAT